GGTGGGGGAAGGCCTATTCAAAAGGGTCTGTAATGGTAGGACAAGGAGTAGTGGTTTTAATCTAGGGAAGGATAGATTTAGACTGGATATTAGAAAAAAGTTCTTTAATATAAGGTGATAGATCACTGGAATGGGCTGCCCAGAGAGGTGGTGGAGGCCCCAGCCCTGGAATCATTCAAGGTCAGGGTTGATGGGGCTCTGAGCAACCTGACCTAGGTAGAGAGGTCCCTGCTTGTGTAAGGAAGTTGGACCAGATGAGCTCTAGAGGTCCCTTCCAGCCTAAAACATTCCATGACCTCCAGCCCACACAGATCTGAATACTGGGAGTGGACCTCCTGTGACATCCCCTGTTGCCCCAGTGAAAACCCCCAGCTCAGATTTCCAGCCCAAGACTCCTTTTCACACTGTAACCTCTGCTGGGTAACACAGAACAAGTACATACACTTGGCTGGAACAGAAAGGGATTATTTCTAGGGCAGTAGCAAGGAGTAGATGTGAAGAGCCACACAGTCAACTAGATGTGATCCCTGGCCACACCACAGGAGGACAACATGGCCCAAGATGCCTCAGATGCTGCCCATTTTTCTTCTGAGTAGCAATCAGCACAGGTTAAACAGCAGATCCTTTTAAAAAGCTCACAAGTCCTGGTCTTGTACAGCTTCCCACTCACTCAGCTTAAGCTAGTAACATTGCTCAGGTTTTGTAACAGGGTATTTTTTGTAGGACTTTTCATGCTGGAAGAGACTCTACCTCCAAATTTTCAGCAGTTCCCCACTCTGATGGTGCTCAACAGTCCTGGCAGGACTAGAAATGTGCAGTCTCACAGACACAATGGAATCTTTCCTACTTATCAGATGTTACTGAGAGGCAGCCAAAATTTGAGCATGCCTTTCACTGACTCCTTTGCTTTAGCCCCCTGCCTGCAAGTGCCACAGCAGAGCTACAGATCCTTGCTGTTGCTCTAAACCTTACATGGAAAACATGAGTTGCAATAAAATGACAAGCATCAGATTCAGAAACAAGCAACCCAACATGAAATAGTCTTTGAAACTTCTCAGATTATTGCTGTATAATACTTCTGAAATCTTGTAACATCCCTTCCAAGGAAGGGAGATGAGCTCTCCACTCTTACCTTTGATGTCCCTGTGGATCTTCCTCTCAGAGTGTAGATAATCCAACCCTTTCAGGATTTCTCTCAGGATAGTAGCTATGTAAGTCTCCTCCAGGGGTCCTGGCTTCAGCTGATAAAGGGCAGAAAGATGACTTAAAGGAGAGTGAACAATGCCTTGGACTTTCCAGCCTCTCAGTTTGTCACTTGGAAACCTTGGCCAAGCAGGTGACATTCAGCAGAAAGCACCTCCTGCAAGCCTGGTGTGCACTCTGCAGGCAGAATGCTGGACTTTGCACCTGGCAACACCACACAGAAAACCTTTGGGGGATTTTCCTAGTTTGTTAAAGGCTTCCCAGACAGACAGCATGATGCTCATCTCCCACTGGGGCCTGGAAATGCATTGCTGAATAGAATATCTTAACATTTCTCTTGTTCAAGTTTCTCTGCTAGCACTGTGACAGCCCAGAGACACACTCTGCCCTCTGACTGTGGAGTGTTGGGGCAAAGCTCTTCTCCCTTCTACCAGTTCCCCTCTAAACAAGTCCTGCCTTATCAGTGCAATACTTGGTCCTGACACTGATTTCTGCTGATGGCAGCCCCCCCACTACACCCTTCCTCCAAGCCAGTGCAGGCTCAGCAGTTTTCAGTTACAGCTCTGGAAAAACAGGATTTGTTGTCCTGAGGAGAAAAGAAAACTCCTGTGACAGAATATAGCATGGCAGGATTTTGCCCATGTTTATTCTGTCGTTGTACTCCCTTAAAATCTGGGGTAACTTGTTAAATGTCATTTATATAACCCAATACCTGGGAATCCTGACTGAAGATCAGGTCCCTGCTGAGCTTGATGCCATGCAAGCACTGAACAATACCACCAACTCTTATTAGGTGAAGTATGGATTCACACTGCTCAAAAACAACTGGGCTGCTGTCCCATTTTAGTTCACTGGCTCTTCCCACAGTAGAGCTGCAGAGCTCAGAGAGCTGAGCTCAGTACAAACATTTCCTCTCTCCTGGGAGGTGCATAACCAACGTGTCTGTCCTGCACTGCCCACCCTTCAGGCACAGGGCTGCCAAGCTTACCACATGCTTACCAAATCCAGGGCTGAACCTCCTCCTAGGTACTCCATGATGATCCACAGCTTGGTGCCCTGCAAACCAGAGCACAAATGAAGAGCAAAGACAGTAATAAAAGCAGGCAGAAAAGTGAAACAGCCCAGAGGCAGCAGGACACACCAGCAGACCTGCACACAATTCAAGAGGTGCTGCACACAGCTCTCAGAGGCTTAAGGAGGAAGAGCTCCCGCTGACACAGTGTTATAGTGGTGGACCTGCCCTCAGTCCATTTCTTTCTCTCAGTCTGCAGTTTTATATGAGCACATTTAGTGTCCTTACAGGCACCAGACTCCACAGCCCACAGAGATAAGCATATTCTCAGGTTGGAGCCAGTTACCATCACTCCAACAGGTCTAGGATATCTTCTTCCTGACAATGACAGGGGACCTGTGCAGCCTTTGATCTCATTAACAGGACTGACAGCTTGAAGGGTACAACCAGCAAGATACTCTTACTCCTCAGAGATTTCCAGACTGAGGTTCACAGGGTCCTGGCAGGAGACAAGCAGCATGAAACTACAGCTTGCTTGGTCTTTTCAGAAGGCTTTGAAAAATTATGTGATGAATAATCAGGATCCAAAGAGTCCAGGAACTGTTTCCTACAGCTCCAGTGTTACATACAGCTCCAGCAACCACCATGCTCAGGCCACTTCTGGTCATCACTACCAGTAACTTCCACTGGGGATCCCTAAACCTGTTCTCAACAAAACCAATATCAGCAGTCCTCCAATAACTCAGTTTTGTTCTTATCATCATTTCTGATGAAATGATGATCACACAATCATAAAGTATAGTTTCAAACTCCTCTTCCTTCCAGAGGCATAAAGGTCCCAGTGATAATACCCTGAAACTGTGGTATTTTGGCAAACTATTCTACAAACTGCCTTTCAAGAATACTCAGGCTAGGGAGAGGTCAGCCTCTTGAATGAGGAATTTTCTCTCCAGTGAAGTGTCCTGCTCTTGGGACCACACTGTACCCAGCAATTCATTCCCAGGTGCTTTCCAAGTGTCTTAAAAGCCCAGCCTCCTATTAAGATCCCATAAATATCAGAGCAGAGTAGAGCCACTGCTGTTCCTGCTGCCACACTGCCCACTCACAGATGGACACAGTGCCTTTGCCACCATCACCTGCAGCACCCACAGGAAAGCCCCCCCGCCCCCCAATTCCCAAACTGCTGGCTGGATATCGGCCCTACCATCAGGGAAGAGCCGGTTTTTTTTTCTGGCTGAGGACTGTTATCGCCTGCTGAATGTCCTCGATCTCATCCTCAGCCTCCTCCAGGTCGATGATCTTGATGGCGACCACCTCCTTGCTGCGGTTGTCGATGCCTTTGTACACCTCCCCGAAGGAGCCCTTGCCGATGCGCTCCAGCTTGGTGAACAGCTCCTCGGGATCCACCCTGGAGTGCTGAACCAGAAAGCAAAGATGGGGAAACACCATCCGCTCCCACAGCAGCCTGCAGAGCACCAGGCAGCTCATCTCCCCCCCTCTAGTCACCTACGGTGGTGTTTCATTTACCCAAGGTCTCCTTATGCTGAGAAACCTAACACAGAATACACTCCAGATGAGAACTGAACTTTTACACAGGCTTTCCACCCCTGCAGGACAGAGGGAGGGAGGAAGGGAAGAGAAGCCCAGAAGAAGAATGTCAGTATGTATCCCTACAGCAAGTGTCAGCTCCTTTGGGACAGGACTGCTCAGCTGCAGGCACCAAACTGATGCCAAAGCAGCTCCACCAGGAAGCATTTGCTCACGCCTGAAGGAAGAGACAGGCAAGGTCTGTGAGAACCAGCCTTCTTCTGAAGATCCAGATGAGAAAATGGGGACAAGGAGCAAGTCATAGGAAGTTCACAAGGATCATTCCTGCACTCAAAGGTTGGAATTATTTCAAAGATTTTCACCCTTCCCTGCTTGTTTGTAGGGTGAAATACTCCCATAACATAAATGCCAGTTCACATTAGCTGTCTTCTCTGATGCAGCCTGATTTCCAGGCAGCACTCAGCCCAGCTCTCTTCAGATATTTGCAGAAGGAGCCTCACATCTTCTGGAAGATCAGCAGCAAGGAGGCCAGACACCTGCCTACCCCAGAGGAGACAGCAGAGCTGAACAGACACTCTGTCAGCAGACCTGATTTTCTGGAAATGCCTCTCCTCTGGCTGGCACACCCAGATGAAAAAGCAAACAGCATCTCCCTCATTAGATAAGTACATCAACTGGGAAGCTACTAACATGATCATCACTGGGGAAATACTGACTCTTTACCAGCAGCCTCAAAGTTAACTCTTTATTAGGATGGGCATGGATGAGGAAGGAAACCAGAATCATTTTCTGATGCTGCTTCATTGTCCAGCTGCAGGCCAAGAAGTCCTGCTGTGCTTCATGCTACTAAAAAGCTCTTTGTCATTAGCTTTTCAGCCTTTAAAAAAAAAAAGTCTAGTTTAAAAAAAAAAGTAAACCTGGAAAATATGGCCTGACCTACAGGAGGTGGTTACAGTGAGTTTTTGCAGCTGTTACAGGGAGTTTTCCACACCCAGAGCTTCCCAGTCTGCCCTCCAACACCTCACCCAGAAGCACTGCTCCTTTGCAAGGGCCTTAAGCTGGCAGAAGTTTTATCTGAGAAGAGGGCAGCTTCATTTTTCCAGCTGACACCAGGTCCTAGCAGCAGGAGGAGCCTGTTATCACTGAGGAGCCCTAGGTGCTGCCTAATGATGAAGCCAGGCAGTTGTTTGAGTGCATCACCATCCAGAGCACACCAGACAGAGTGAGCTCTGCAGTCAGCTCACCCAACAGGATTCCCATGTGCAGGAGTCTCAAGACACAGAAGGATAACCAAATATCCTTGTGCATCCATGGCAACACCCCAACAGGCTGTGCTTTGAACAACTGCAGTGGAAACAGACTGGAGGGAGATGTGAAGATGAAAGGAACTGGGGATACCCAACAGGGGCTGGGGAGAGGGAGGTGGGGAAGGGAAGAGGGTGTGAGCATGAGAAGTGCCAGGAGACAACATGGGAACACGAGTGCAGCACAGGGAGAACAGTCTGGCTGATCTAGGCTCACAAGTGGGCAGGAGCAGTTTCCACCTCCTGACCAACTCACAGGAAGTGGCAGTGAGATGTCCCCACCCCTACCTTGCAGAGTCACCTCCTGCACTGGAAAAATGCCACTCCCCACATCAGCCACTCCCACACAGCAGGGAGAAGAGCAAGAGGATCATTTCCTAGAAGCACCTGCCTCAGCTGGTAAAGGAAACACTACCCCCATGAAGCCTGCAGGGAAGCAACCCTGCAAGAAAACCTTCCTCCCCTCCCATGCAAGTCATTTTTCCATGAGAAAAGAAATGTCAAGCTGTAAGTTAATGCTGCAACTCCTCAGCCTGGCATGGCACATCAAAGAGTCAGGACTGATTCTTCATGAACAGGATCTCAAACACAAGAGCACCAGCAACTGCAGGCATTTCCTCATCTGGAAATGCTTCAGAGGTCTCAGGTGACAGGGCAAGAAAGAGTATGACTCTGTGGAGGGCCTGAGGACGTGCATCTCTTGACAAACTCATGCATGTCATACCCAGCAAGAGCCAGAACTAGGGAGCCAGTGTGGTTCACAGTGACAGAGCCAGGGCTACAGTCTCCCAGACACCTGCAGCAGGAGCAGAGCTTGCTAATGGATTTCCTCACTTTCTGGAACAGGGAAGAGGAAACAGGCCCATCCCCAACTCAAGCAGGTCCATGTCTGCCCAGTGGAACACCCCACGAACCAGCACTGCAGACACCATAGAAGGCATTGCCAGGTGGCATTTTCCTGGGGCCAATCTTGAATTCCCATGAGAAACTAAGGTAGAGAGAAATCTATCAGAATAGATGAGAATTGGAAAGGAGAGTTAGGAGAAAAAGGTAAAACCTCATGGGGAGAGATAAGGGCAGTTTAATAAAACAACACAAAGAGAGAAGAAACAACAGCAGTCATACCAGTGGAAGAATATATAGAATGAGTGATGCACAACCCAACAGCTGACTGCCCCAACACCTCTCCCTAGGCCAGTGAAAGCTGCCTCAGATCATAGTGGAGGTGAGCATGGTTTCAAATAACCCACTGGCTGGTTCTGTCTATCCTGGCCACAGCCTCTCCCAGGTCCTTGTTGGAATTAACCCCATCCCAGCTGAACCCATGGCATAAATGAGTACAGATCAGAAGCTTATTAGCACCTGGAAACTTTGCAACTGCTCAGCAGCTTGGCATCCTTCACTCTTCTTACACATCCAGAGTCTGCCAGGGCTGTGAAAGGGAACTCCAGGGCAGAGCCTGAAGAGCTGGCTGACCAGCTGCTGCTCCTTGTTCTGCTGCCATGTGTAAGGCCTTTAAAGGACAGTCACCTCACAGCACCTTTTTGCTTGGCTGAACTGCAATTACACAGCAACTTGTGCTGTTCCTCCCCACTGAGAGCACTCAGGCACCAGGGATGGCTCAGTCAAGCACAAACAGGCTTTGGAGGAGAGCACACAGAGCACCACCTCAGTGCTATCTGTAGGAAGGGGAAGGAATAAGTAGGAGAGGCATGAGGACAACCTGCTAGTAATGTGCTCCACTTCTGCCCCCCAGGATCTCCTCTCACAGCACAGGAAAGGAAGATGCTCTGTCAGGACAGGTGCAGGAGTGTCAGCCACCATGACTGATGATGCCACGTTCCAAAACTGAGCCACTTACTGCAGGCATCAGGAATTAAGAATTCCAGTATGCTGTGAGACAAGCCTGGTGTGAACACCAGCTGCTTCATGGGGAAAGAATGGCCTTGGCAGCTCTGCCATCTCCAGCTGCAGAGACATGATGTCCATAGCTTTTGAGAGACTGGAGAAGAAGGGCAAATATCTACCCTCATTTCAAAGCTACAGCCTGGGAAGATAAGCTGGGAAAAGTAGCAAATACTCTTTAAAACAGCTCAAGGTCTTTCTCTGGGCTCTGTCCAGCTGAATCTCACCCTCCAAAGAGTGATACTCTCAATATTCAGCATTGTGACCAAGAGTCACATCTGCATCTGCTGCATGAAACACTGAGAGGTGCTTAACCACTTTTGGAAGTGAGAATTCTGGGGCATGTGAGGATCAGAATTGCTGTTCTATATGGGAGGAGTCTGTAACAGAAGACTGTCAAGGCCACAAGGCTTTAAGAGCTGAAGCTGACTGGGAGTTGGGCAGCCTCCAAAGGTTTATATGGAACTACAGCAGCATTTAGTGTTACTTCTAACTAGAGCACTTTCCAACCAAGCAATCATTTTCCTGTGCCACACACAATGGAAGGAAGAAGCTTGTTTTAATGAAACCCAGCTACAGACCTTCTTTCCTTCATTGCCTCCTCTTTTGCCCAGTTTCCCATCCAGTACTCACCCACACTGTATGTTACATGCTAGCCCATGGGCCACCAACAAAGATATCTGCATCAGGCACGATGTTTTTTTGGGGGGGGGAAATCAGCTTTTAATCTGCAAACACTTGAAAGCTTCCCTGTCTATGTGAAACTTGTGCACAGCTCTTTTCAACTACTAAACCTGAGACAGTTTTGAACTTCTGGAGCACAGACAAGAAGCAAGTTTGTGTTCAACACTGAAACACACAAATTTGTCCAAGGCTCCCAACTCACTTTACAGATAGTATTCTTTTGCCTAACCAGAGTGAAGCATTCCTTAGCAAAGGAACTTGAACAGCTTCTTTGAGGTCACATAAGGAAGAACAGGACTAGAAACAAGAGCTCAGATCAGAGCTTTAGACACAGTAACATATACCTCACCTGGCAGACAGAGCTGACAACAAAGACCAGGGGCCTGCTGTGCTGTTTGTGCATGGCAAAGGGCAGCCAAGGAGAGAGCTGAGGCAGGGAAAGGGAGGCACAGAGGCAAAGCACCCCAGGGATTTGCCTGAGGTAACCCTGCACGTCAGCAGCAGAACTGGGAATCACAGACAAGACTCTCACATCCCAGTCCCAGTCTTAGGCTATCAGTTTTCAAGGTAGCTCCCACCACTCCCTAAATGCTGGTGATAGAATTCAGGCCAGTTCCTACTGCCAGTCCAGCCTCAGCTGCACAGCTCACAATGTCCCATCAAGGGTTCCTGAAGAGACCTGAGGAATGGACAACACAGGCTGCTTCCCTACTCCAGAATCAGAGTATCAGGGGATGACAGAACCTGAGAATGTCTCACGAATGGACAACACAGGCTGCTTCCCTACCCCAGAACCAGACAGAGTATCAGGGGATGACAGAACTGTCTCATATTTGCATAATAAATTCAGAGATGAGACCACTGGAACTCTGACAGGCTTCACTAGCAAACACTGAGCACTGAAAAGCTTCAGAGCAACCTGCTCTGTAGCTACAGCACTCAATTCCCAGCCCTAGCCAGAGTGTATCCTCTCCTGTTCCTTTCATTTCTCTCCCTGTACCATGACTCACTCAGGCACCACATTTGCATTTAATTTCACACAGTTTGGGGAAACAGTCTATGCAAAAGGCAGCATGCAAACTAGGATGCATTGCAAATCAATTCCAAGGCTTGGAGAAAGCATCATCTCAAACCACTAAAGCTTTTAGTATTCTAATTCTACACCTAGGAGCAGAATAGAAAAGCACCAAAAATTCTCATAAAACATGGTTTAACCCAACCTACATTCAGTATGGACATCTGCCAACAATCAAACACACCCCATAAATAAACTCAGAACAGAGAGAAGATTCCAGCCAATACTATTAACATGGTTTAGCTTTTAGTCCCAAATTGTGACATGATCTTTCCACATTCCTCTTATGCAAATGTCATCACAACAGCACATCCATTGAGGCTGGTACCACTCTCAGAAGAGGTAAATATCCAGGATCAAGTATCACTGTCTCTTATGCATTAAGGTTACAAGCACTGATTTCCTCAGGCTACTGTTATGAACACTGCAGCAGTCTGGAACAACCTGCAGACACAGCAGTTCTGATCCCATTTCTAGAATTGCCCTCCCCAAAATACTCAGAGAGCCAATGACTTCTGCTGCCCTAAGAAGAGCAGAGTTAAACTCAAAGGCACTACACTGTGTGAAGAAATCCCTTTCTATGTGGCTGGCAACCTAACACTGTCAGGCCGTGAGATAAGACATGAATCTATCAGCTAAGAGAAGTAAGCTGAGACATGTACGAGAGATAAAGAGGGGCCAAAAGTGATTTTCTGGGGATTTGCTTTAAATTCATTTCAAGAGAAAACAGAACAACGTTTCCTCTTGATACAAAACCCAAATGGTTAATCACCACTTACCTGGCTGGCAAATTCTCTCAAGTGAGCCATGCCTACAGGATGGTCAGACATCCGATCTTCCAAAATCAGGGAGGGTTGGGACGTTGTAGCAGAGTGGGGAGGTGATGCTTTCTCATCCACTGGTCAGCTGTGGCAAGCAAGAACACAACAGCTCTAAGTCAAAGTTCTCAGAGCCTGGCTCATTCCCTAAAAGAGTTACCTGCATTCTTTCCTCTCCTTGATCTTGCAGTTCTCCTTGACCCTACCAGCCCATTCTAAGCATGCCAGCCCCTTCTTGCAAACCCCATCTCTCAGTTATTTAGACTTCCCTGTCAGATGTGTCAAGGAAGCTTGTTTTAATGATAAACACTGACAGAGCCTGAGGCACCATTTTCCCCACCATCACCTTAGCCATGCTCCCCAGTATTACAGCTGCCCCTACAGCACTATCCCCTCATCACCACTCCCAGCAGAGCCCACACCATTATCCTCAGACGTCCCCTTCCTCCTACAGCTGCCCAGCACTCCTCTCACTGAGGGTACCCCACCACCCCCATCCTCCCCAGTACACCCGCTGGCAAAGATCAGCTCCCCAGTGCATCTCTTCCTTCTCACTCAACCCCAACCCTACACATTGCCCAGTTCCACCCTTAGACGCTGTGTTCCTCAGCAACCCTCTCCACAGGGCTCCCTTCCACCACAACAAAAGAAAAGCCCCAACCCAGCAGGACCCCTTAGCCCAGCTCAGGTCCCTCAGGACACCTTCAACCCGGCGGGGCCCAGCCCAGCCCTCTCCAGGACCCCTGACCCCAGCGCTCCCAGCACGGTGCCCTCAGCTCCCCACAGCCCCCTCCAGTGTCCCTGTCACGGTGGCCCCACAGCCCCCCCTCTCAG